GTCTATTCCCTTGACACCGACTGGCTCTTCGATCCTCTGAACCTCGATGTCTCCAACACGCCTTCCGCTGTCAAGCAAAAGCTCAAGGAAGAAGATTATTCCACAGGTGAGTTAGTGGTATATATGTATATTTTATTATTATTATTATTATTATTATTATTTTTTTTTTTTATTATTTTTTTTTAGTTTGATTTTATTGTGATTTTGTTTGTCCTTTCATTATACTAGGATTTTTTTTCCTTACTGTATTTGATGATTATTGTTATTGTTTAGGTTTTAGATTAAGTTAGTTTTTATTGATATCTTGGTGAATAATTGTCTTTCTAGCGCTGATGATGGCCTTGAGACTGAACATCAATTCCCTCAAACAAGAGGTCCTGGAGAGCATACCTTTAAACTGTGGTAAGTATTCATATCTTTTCCCTTTCCCTTTCATCTTTCATCTTCTGGGTTTCTTGTACTCTTTTTCTTTCTTCTCCTTTTCATTTTCATTTCTCCTTTGTTTCTCCTTCTCTTTTTCCTCCTTTTCTTTCTCTTTCTCCTTGTTCTCCTTGTTCTCCTCCTTCTCCCTCCCCCTCCCCCTCCCCTCCCCTCCCCTCCCCTCCCCTCCCCTCCCCTCCCCTCCCCTCCCCTCCCCCTCCCCCTCCCCCTCCCCCTCCTCCTCCTCCTCCTCCTCCTCCTCCTCCTCCTCCTCCTCCTCCTCCTCCTCCTCCTCCTCCTCCTCCTCCTCAACATGATAATGATAGTAATGATAATGAGCATAATAATGATAATAATGACAATGGTGTGTTTTGTGTGTGTGTGATAATGATAATAAATGATGGTGGTGATAGTCATAATTCGAAATCCATTCCTGCCCACAGTGTCATTAGTAGTGAATGACCTGGTGCAACTGTATGTTGAGAGCCTACTGCAGTTTGTGGCCGAGAGTCTCGAAACGACCCCACATGTTGGTCTCTACTCCCGCTGGGCCACTGAACTGGTCACGCGCCATGGCCAGGTCCTCAAGACACGCGCACCGCAGATCATGAGCACCCTGAATGCCTTGCAGAAGTCCCTCTCGACGCACCACAGCAACCTCAGTAAAGTGTACGTTGGATGGGGATTTTGCTATTCTTTTATGATATGGTTTAAGAGAAAGCCTTAGCTGTAGTTTGAACAAGGGACATTTGTATATTTTTGTTGTATGGAAAGAGCTTGAAATTATGATATATAATTGATGAGTTCAAAGGCTTTGTGTAAGTAGCTGCATTCTACTATTTTTTTTTATTAACATTAATATTTTCTTATGTCATGAAAGTTGATGCAATCATAGTTATTATTATGTTTTTGTCTTAATGACCATTATTATTCATATCTTTATATTCTAATAATTTGTTTAACCATTACAGTTGTACACACAATGAATACATGCTGAGTTATCTACTAGCCCAAGCCTCCCTCAGAAGAAAAAGAAACCGCGCCATCACACCTGGAGACGAAGAAGGAGAGAGCAAGGTACCCTTCCTCACCTCTGATGGGGAGATGGAAGATGATGACGATGAAGGTGATGACTTAGAGAACATGTTTCCTGAAGAAGAAGTAGAGCCGTGACTGCAAAAGCACGTAGGAGATTTATAGGAATATTTTATAATGCGTGGGAGTCTCAGCTGAAAGAGTTGAGTTTGTTAAACATGATGTTGGTATCTTAATAAAAACTATTAAGTAATCAAGGTTGATTTCTTTCTCCTTTGATCGGGACATAAACCTTAGATAGATAGATATTTATACAACAAGTGCAATGGCTTGTTATGTTATTCTGCAATTCTCTGTGCATATTGTATTACTACCTTTATCTCAATCTTTCCATCAGCTACAGAATAACAATGCTGTACCCTTAAAACCCATGGATAGCACATAGAAATTTGCTATATAAAAAACAGTATCAAGGAGAATATATGATTTATGAGATCCTCATTACTATTCTCGTCTTAACCAATGTATGAATAAACTTTGTCATTCATTTTGTATTTTGTATTGGATTTGTACTTGACATAGCAATCAACTGAAAAAAATAATATATTAATACCAAGATTCCTTTGAAAAGGAAAAGTGTTGAGTGATACAAAATTATCTCTACAGTAATCATGTTTATTATCTAAATGTATTATTTTGTAGAAAACAATACTGAGTGAATGCCAAATGCAAACAAAAAATATTTTTTTATATTCTGTTATCAGCTTTTCTGTCCAACATGTAATTAAAGTAGAAAAAGTCATACGTAAAATGGAAAACAACATAAGGTGATGAAGAAAAAATTACATTGTGGCTTCCTCTATAAATAATTAATATCTGTCAGACTGAACCTTTGTAGTTCAATCAATTTAATCAAATGGGTTCATATAGTTTTACAAGAAAATAATTCAATATTAATGTTGAAGGGGCAACACTCATTAATACTATTTACTGTTTTTTTGGCTACTTTTTTTTTTGTTGGGCAATGAATCAATGGTTTGTTTAT